CACCATTTGATCTGAGACTTGCAGACTAAGTAAGCAACTGCCCAGATGGCTGTGTTTGAGCAGCAGGGGAGCAACGTGGTAGAGAGTTGGATGGAACAGATCAGAGACTGTAGAAGGAGGTCCTGGCTGACAGATATGAGTACAGACGTAACTGTGTGATCTATTCCAGTCTCTGCATACGCCTAAAATTGCTGGGGTGTGTGATGTGAGTGATTTTGGAAAAAAGGAGGTGGCTGGACAGGGAGGCAGGGGCTAGACTGGAAAGTCTTTGTAAAGTATATTAAAAAAAAAAACAGAGCACAATGTCATAAAAAGAGTTCAACACAAGGCAGAGTTATTTGCAAATTGGGATCGGGCTCAGATGGTCACGGTAGGTGACTGTGGCGTTACTGGGGAAGGGAAGTGAGAAAGAAGTGGAGTTAACTGATAGCAATAAATAGCTCAGAGAAGTGGGGATGGGGACGAATAGTAGCGGAAAGAAACAAGACTGGAGTCAAGTGCAAAGTTGTAAGAAATACGTGGGGCTTCCATAGAAGACATAGTAGTAGAGTAGGGTAGGGGAGAGAGAGAGAGAGAGAGAGAGAGAGAGAGAGAGAGAGAGAGAGAGTGTGTGTGTGTGTGTGTGTGTGTGTGTGTACAGGTATGTCCAGGGAGTGGATAGGCAGGGGCAGAGAGAGACTGAGGAACTGTAAGATGTTATCCTGACTTGGCCGTAAAGGAAGCCAAGGACCTGGCCCATGGGGTAAGCGCGAGGGATGCTCCTAGCGACCCCTTATTTGTTGTTGTCTTATGACCAAGACAATTCTTCCTGGTAACGGGAACATCCATTCCACAGCTTCTGTTACGTATTAGCCTCTCCAACTGACTAGAAACTCCCCAGGGATAGGGAGACACGTACTGCTCATCCAAGGATATTGCCCTTCTCCCATCAACCTCACAGAGCTTTACGTGTCCAAGATCCTTAGAGAATAATTAATGGGAAAATAACCACATAAAAGGACTGTTCCAGAGATTCAAGTCTCAGGGGATGTGTATATATATATATATATATATATATATTTATATATTCATAATTTTAAAATGTGCTTGATTTTCAAAATAAAAATGTTAAATCATGATAAAACTTTAAGAATTTCTGCAAAAACAAAAAAGAAATGATATGCCAAAAATAAATACTCGGAAGTGCCAACTAATTCAGTGAGTAGAAAAGATTCACTATGTATTTAATTGAATATGTGGGCCAGGAAAATGTTGCCATAGCTTTCTTTAACTATGAAGAACATAAATAAATATGCTTTAAAATGATTCCTGTTCTTTACCCCTTCCACCTCCAATGAGGTAAAGAATGTAAAATCGCAAGGGGAAAAAATATAGCTAAATGTGCTATTTTCACTAACATAGTTATGATATAGGAAATACTCAGAAACATGCCGGCACATACACAGCAGAATTTATAATAAAGTTGTGAGAAACCTTCTCCTCCCCCAAAGAGAGCTCTACTGGCGAGATATTTCCTAGAAGAAAGCAATGGCTATTGAATTTGTGCCCTGATGCCTTCCTTCAAAGACTTTAGGGATGTTTAAATTGTGTGGGGGGGTGGGGGTTGAGGGGGTCTGTGTCTGTATTCACCAAGAAAGAAAAAGAGAAAGAGAATTGTGTTGGAAAAAGTTGCTTCTAAGGAGTTAGGTTGACATTAAGTCTTTTTTGCTGTACTTTATCAATGTAATTGGCTTTCATTTTCAAATCTGTGACTTTTGAAGGATCTGCTCTGGGGGCCGACTTCGTTACAGCTGCAGCCGAGAGTATGCCTGTCATTAGCCCAGTTGCTCAGTCACTGTCTCCATTTATAGTTGGGTTTGTAAAGTGTTCAAAATAGGAACTCTGGGTTTCTGCTGATCTTGAGTCATCAAAGAAAAGAAAAGCTTTATTTCTTCTTATATTCATTTCCATCTATGCTGACATTTTTTAAGACTGACATAGTTGACTAGGAAAAAAAAAACTGACCTTTTTTTTTAGGTTCAAACTGACTCTACCGTGCTTTCTACTACAGAATGTCAGGATCTTAACTCCTTATTTATTTAGGAATTTCTTCAGGATATATATTTTAATACATTGCTTAAAAGGAAACTGAATCTCTTTCTTTTGGGTACTATTGGAGCCATCTTCATGCAGAAGGGAAAAGCTACTCTGCCAAGATAATATTACTCAGGTTGCTTAAATTACAAAAGTAAATGGCAAGTTTGTCCCCTGAAAGGCTAGTATCAAAAGAGGGGGGGGAATAAAAGATAACTGTATTCAACAGCTTCCTGTAACTTAGAGAACTACATCTAGAATTACAAATTCCCTGGGAAAGCAGACAAGTAGAATTTGAGACAAATAAAATGTGGAAAAGAGAGCTCTAACAGTCAGGATCCCAACACAAATGGTAGCACGCTGATTTATAAATGCAGGGTGTACACAGGCCATTTGGGTAGAGAGAAACCTGAAGGGACAGAGCGATAATCTGGAACTAGCCAAGTCAGAGCTGTCATGTCCTCTAGGCTCAAGGGAACAAAGGGGGACAGCAGTCATTTCAATGAAGAGGCGATGAGTGGTGTAGAGGAGAGATGCTAGAGAGGACTGGTGACCTCCTTGGCTCACATCTGGGCACTTCCCAGGTAGGTTGACAGAAGAAATGTGCCCCAAGAGTCGATCGGTGTTTTTCCTCAGGAGCACTGTTGCCATCTTGGGTTTGACAATGATGTTTTGCTGCCTGCCCATGCAATGATAATAGCAGCCCCTAGTCACCATGACAATCAGGTTATCGCCACTCATTCCCAAACTTCCCTGATCAGTAGGTGATTTCTTCTCCAGTTGAGAATCACTATATGTTAACCAAATACCCCTGGGAATGTTTTAATCTTTATCTCTAGATCAACGTAGATGACCAGAAAGCTATCTTCAGAAAGCTATATGTCTGAGCCGATAGACTTGTATATTATGGAGGGGGCAAGATAGCTGCCCTGTCTATGACCCCGTATCTGCATATCAGGCAGGAAAGAGGAATGGGCTAAGTAGCTAGGGATGATGCTTAATCCGGAGAGTGTTAGTTTTCCCAGAAATGTTTAGCATATATCTCGTTGGTCAGAACTGTGTCCCAAGGCAACTCCTATCCTACAGCATAGTCAAGGGAAGTATTTTAAGTTGGGCACATTGTTACCTTGAATAGAATTGCAATTCTTTGAGTAATGAAGAAGGGGAGTGGGCATGAAGAAGCAGTTTAGCAGCATCTTTCCAGCAAGCTACATATCTATAGTGTCTTGGTGTGGATGAATGACACTAGAGTAATAGAAGACCTTGCATTCTCTCTTTCTATGCATACATTAATTTGCTTGGGAATTAATAAACAACAAAATCAGGGTGTGCTCATTCATTTGTTATAGCAACAAATCTAATCACAGTAACTCAGAGTAAACTGAAAACATTCTGTCATTGGCATATTTTCGGATCCCTAATAGACTAATGCCTAAGGACGGAAGTTTAAATCTCCAAGCCTTCCTTGAGCCTTTCCTTATCCCCATCCTAACCAAGACCTCTCATAGTTTGGCAGTGAGATCTTTTCATCTCTGTGTCCTTACACATTCTTAGGATATTCAGTAAGTGTCTCTGAATTGAATGAATGAATGCAATAGAAATTGGGCAGATAGAAAAGGAAGAGGAGTCTGCATTTGAGTTCTCTTTGGTAAATCACTCTTTGACAGGAATATTTGGTCTAAAATTTAGCATCTTTTTGATTGTGCTGAGGGTGTTTGTTTCTCTCAGCACCCCTCTTTGCTTTTACTTTTTTCTGTTCCCTTGGCCCAGTCCTCTGTTCTCTTTCTCTGGTACCTCCTTTTAGCCTGAATGGTGACTAAGTCTTTGGGTAATTTGATTGAGATCACATTGTTCTGTTTATTTTTGTTGTTATTGCTAGTGCTTTCAGTGTTAAATTTAAAAAAAAAGATGTCAAAGCCAGTGTCATGAAGTTTTGTTTTTTTTCCCCCCTGTGTTTTCTTCTAAGAGTTTATATATATGTGTGTGTGTATATATATACATATATATATATGTATATATATAATGATTTTTGTGTTAGTTTGTGAATTCTCAGAAGTTTTAGCTTATATATATATATATATATATAGTTTTAGCTTTTACATTTAGAGCTAAAAATAGTGTAAAGTAAGGGTCCAGCTTCATTCTTTTCCATGTACATCTCTAGTTTTCTGAACTACTTGTTGAAAAGATTATCCTTTACCAAACAAATGACGTTGGCACCCTCATCAGAAATTAATTGTGCATGCAAGAGTTTATTTCTGGACTCTCTGTCCTAATCTGTTGGTCTGTGTGTCTATCTTGATGCCACTATCATACTGTTTGGATTATGGTGGCTTTGTAATAAGTTTTGAAATTAGACAGTGAGAGATCTACATTTTGTTCTTCCTTTTTGAGAATGTTTTGGCTATTTGGAGTCTCTTGAGATTCCATGAATTTTAGACTGATTTTTTTCTATTTTTATAAAATTTCCATTGGAACTTTGATAGGGATTGCATTAAGTCTGTAGAATACTCTGGGTAATATTAACATCTCGAGGATATTAAGTCTTCCAATCCATGAACACCGGATGTCTTTATATTTATTTATGTCTTCAGTTTATTTCTGCAGCATTTTTACTTTTTGGTGTAAGTCTTTTAACCTTTTTGATTAGCTTTATTCTAAAGTATTTTTTTTTCATTTTGATGCAATTGTAAACAGAATCATTTCTTTTAATTTGTTTTTTCAGATTGTTCATTGCTGGTACTCAAAAATGCACATGTTTTTGTGTTCATTTGTGAATTCTCAGAAGGCAGGAACCATGCCTTATTTGTATTTTACAGAGTTGATATGAGATAATAATAGTGCCTAATATGTGTTCATTTTTGTGTTATTATTTTTCATTGATGGTAATCTTTGCCCTTTTTATTTTTTTCTCTTTCCCACTTCAGGGCCCTGCTAGTTCGACAGCCTCTCCTCCAGCCTCCACCCCTGTCACAGGACACAAAAGAATGGTTATACCAAACCAACCCCCTCTAACAGCAACCAAAAAGTCTACATTGAAACCACAGCCTGCACCCCAGGCTGGACCCATCCCCGTGGCACCAATCGGAACACTAAAACCCCAGCCTCCACCGGTCCCCGCCTCCTATACGACAGCATCCACCCCTTCCAGGCCTACCTTCAATGTGCAAGTCAAGTCAGCCCAGCCCAGCTCTCTTTACATGGCTTCTCCTTCATCGGGACAATTTTATGGCCCAGGCCCGGGACCCCAGGGCTATAACGCTCCACCAGTTTCTATCTCTGGGCAGTGCCCACCTCCTTCAACACGGGGGGGCATGGATTATGCATATATTCCACCGCTAGGACTTCAGCCTGAGTCTGGGTATGGGTATGCCCCCAACCAAGGACGTTACTATGAAGCCTATTGCCCCACAGGGCCTGGCTATGGGGGCAAGAATGACTCTGATCCGGCTTATGGTCAACAAGGTCACCCAAATACCTGGAAGCGGGAACAAGGGTATACTCCTTCTGGAACAGGAAACCAGAACCCGACTGGGATGTATCCAGTTGCTGGTCCCAAGAAGACCTATATCACAGATCCTGTTTCAGCACCGTGCGCACCACCACTGCAACAAAAGGTAGGGAGCTCACTCACATAGTGGTGGCCCTGAAGGAGATTGTTTCTTGGCCTGCTTTCCCCAGAAAGCAGAGCCTAAGGCAAAAGTCTATGTGCTCCTTTTATGTCATTAGGAAATAGAGTCCCAGGGAAGTATGAGTGAAGCAGGAAAGGGGGAAGATCTATGCAGGGTATGTTATCAGTATGGCTACCCTTTAGGATCAAGTACAACCAGTTGGTTCAATCTTGAGGATCATCTTCCAAAAGACTCTGTATGAACACATCAGGACAGTCTGTTCAGGGAGAGGAAGGGAAAATAGTTTATCCTCCAGCTTCTTCCTGTGGTTCAAAAATGTCCTCCCACTTAGACGTTACATTTACCTGGGCTCTGAATAGATCTGCACTATCTCATACGTTAGTGGGGACAGGATGTTCCCAGGATTGTAGGGAAGAGGTGTATAGGGCACAGGAGTTGCAGTGCTGTCAAGTTGGTCTCATGTAGTCAGTCAGAACCCAAGCCAAGGTGGTGCTTTGGGTTCTGCGTTGGGCAGAATGAGCCCAGGACTGCCGGGACAGAACAAGTGGCCCAGGGCCTAGGAGGTGAGTGAGGTCAAGGGGATTCAAGGTAATGCAGACACCTCTTCTAGTTTCCTTTGGGAAGGGGCTGCAGTATAATGGCGCTCGTTTATTACCTCTTGTTTATTCCCATCACTGATCCTCCAGGAAGAATCTTCCTCTCCAGGCTTTAACTATATTAGGAAATTTTTAAAAGTTCCTTATGACAGTGGTTTGATTTAATTGCAAGTATGCATGTCTTTTAAGTCAACATGTTCAGTTACTTCCTGTGAATAGTTAAGATATAATACTACACATACCTACTCACCTACAACTTGGGTTTTCCATAAGTACTAGAACCAACATGATGATGTTTCCTCCCACCCTGACAAGAGGAACCAAGGAGAATTACTTGGAAGGGATGTGATGGAGAAATGAAGCTAGTTTCCAGTTAATGGGTTGGAACTGAGCCCTCCCTTTTAGTTAGAGCTGTGAGAAATCAGAACCTGGAGAGCCCTTCATTAGCTGAAAATTAAATGGTAATTGTTGAGATGGATTATGGAAGTGTGTGTGTGTGTGTGTGTGTGTGTGTGTGTATAATTCTTTACCCATTTAAGATTGTCAATTTCCAGACACACCTATTCACATTTTCAACATTATAACAAAAATTTGTCAGGCCCTTGCTCTCCAGCTAAGGTGTTTACTAAATCACGATTCTCACGTGAAAGCATCTGTTCTATTAATTGTGTTCCAAAAGAAGTTTAGGTTCTTTAGAGGAAAAGAACCCTCCCCAGTGGGGCCTGTGAGTAGCTGAAGGTACTTGTTAACCTTATGAATGCTCATTACATGAAAGTGAACCAGCCATGGTCATTCTCCAACATAAAGATTCCGAGTTAAAATGTTATGTGTTTTTGTAACATTACTCTTGGAAGGCCTTTCTTTTCAAAATCTCTCCATGCAAAGAAAATTTTTAAGGGTTTTGTGTTTTGTTTTGTTTTTAAATAAAGTTTATCCAGAATAGCCAAGCTGGATAGGCTTGCCCTTCATTAACATTACAGTTTTCAAGGAAGGGTTTTTCCAGGAGGACCCGAAAACAACCAGGTCAGGAAAAAAGGGGGTTATTCAACTTTACCTTGCTTTGGTATAACTGAAACAAATTCTCCTATGGAAGATTAAAAGTTTAGGTTGGGAAAATTGCCATCCACATTTAAGCTCATATAGGCATGCGGTTTTGCCCTGTCTAGAGCAGCTTGACTGATGTTCCTGTGGGAAAGAGATGGGCCCTGAGTTATGTTTAAGGATGCCAACACCCCACCTAGAGAAACAGACATAAGCCAGAGCAAAAGTATGTCTAGGTGGAGGGAATCATCTGGTGGGAAGGACTGAGCCAGTCTTCGAGTTTCCTGTTTATCCATCACGTCATGGGCCACCACAGATAGTCCCTCTTCAACATTTTGAACCAACCCAGTATTGTAGGTGGAAAAAATCAGCACCCATTGCAAGAGCTGGACCTAAGATGTCAGGTCCAGCCACATGACTAACATTTGATCTGTCCTCAGCCATCCAATCGGGGTGCTGGAATCAACTTTGACTAACCACTCACCAGAAAGCACAAAACTTCATTTTCCTTCTTAGAGGCGTAAGGTCATGATTCAGGATGATTTACTACATTATTACAGATTCTGGGTATCAGTGGATTTCATGTCATTGAAAAATTTTTTGGAAATACTTATTTATAACCAAGTCATGCATTTTAACATCATACTGTGCCTTTTAAACATGAAAATTAAACCGTGTATTTTTGCTGCCATTATAAAGGAGAGTGGTTAGAGGTTGATATTTAGCCATCTGTCTGTGTTTGGGGAAAGGGGAAAGAGGCCAATGAAGCTATAGATATTTCCTGTGTGTGTTGTGGGGGCACTGACGGCTGAAGGGGTGGGCTTTCCACAGTTGGTCTTTGAGCAGAACACTGCTGTATTCAACTGCACCTGTGCAAAGAGGCCCTGAGTGTCCCGATACTGACTCTGCTTGGCTTAGTCATGTGACTGCTGGCTTGAGAAAGGAGCTCCTAATTCTAATCCTAGTTCCTCCCTTGACATTCCTCTTTCAGCTTGGGAAAAGGCCTCTAGACCCCTTTATGTCACGCTTCCAGCCTCAGTAAAGTGGAACATCATCTTCACTCATTAATTAATGATTGCAGAGGGCTTGGAAATTTCCGAGGGCTGAATAATTGCCAAGTGAGGACTATTTCGGTTTTCCCCTGGCTTTCATTTATTTCCAGTTGTTTTAGCCACTGGTGGAAGATGTACCTTCATACCTTAAAACAATTATCTTTTGTTACAGTTGAGAAGTTCAGAGGAATTTGACATTGGACCCATTAAAGAAAAAGTGGTGGTTGTTGTTTTTAAGTGAAAGAAATAAATCTCTCCTATATTCGAGATGAGCTGCTTTAATTTCTCTACAATCTAAAAGAAGTGGGGAAAGAATAGAAGGGGAAAGAAAAGGAGAGGAAAGACAAGGAAGAAAAGAATGAAGAAAGGAAGGAGGCAGCATGAGAACCTGCAAAGTGCAGGGGATCATGATTATATTTATGTTCCCATAATGTGCTGAGCAGTGAATTTGCATGCTACAGTAGACCATAATGTGTTTCCTGGACCATCTGAGCTGAGTTCCTTGAAAAATATTGTTATAAGCAAGTCTTTATAAGAGAGAAATATTCCTTTCCCACTGGACATCCTCTTAAAGACGCAGTGGAATCTTTTCTTTAGGCTCTTTTCTAGAAGCTCCTATCTGCTAGCTGCTGTACAGTTTACACAACTCTTGTCCTGTGCATTATTTGCACATGCCCGTGAGGCAGGATGTGCCTTTTTTCCAATGTTCAGATGAGGTGAGTCCGTCTGAAAGTGCCAGAGCCAGGACCTGGAGGCCAGTCATCACTCTTGCGTGCACAGTGACTCAAGGGCAGGTCAGCTTTAATACCCACTTCCTTGTCATAAACCTAATCTCTGCTTTATTGAAGACAAATGGCGTTTGTCCCACAGTGTGTGAAAGGCACAGGTGCTATGCATCCCAGGGAAACTGGGGGGGGGCACTTAGTGTGGGGGTGTTTGGTTAAATTCTAAAATCATCTACTCTTAACATCTTCTTGAAAACCCCTTCATGATGGTGAGAGTGTGGAGATCAGCAAACTACTTTTCAATAAATCCAACACAAAGTTGTTTTTTTGTTTGTTTGTTTTTTGTTTTTTTTTTTTTAAATCCAGAGTTAGAACAAATCACTGCTCTTCATTTAGCTTTTGAATCTGGGGAATACTTAATGGTATAGAGAAGAGAGTGAAGGCAGTGGACTTTTGGGGTCAGTCTTAAAGGGTCCCAAGACCTGTAATTTGTTAAGATTCAGAAAATATTTGAGAATGTTCTTACAGTAATATTTCACACATTCAAATAGTATCAAAATGTGGAACTTTCCTTCACTGTGGAAAAGAGATGCATGTACATATTGGGTATACTGCAAGGAAATGGTAGTATTTTGGAGAAAGCTTTCTTTATGGTACTCCTTGTACTAATTAGCTCTCAATTCCAGGATCAGGGAAACAAAAAAGAAGAGATGGTTAGGGTGGGGAGAGGGGTGGATGTAGAGAGATGGCTCAGGTCAGGCGCTAATACCCGGGTACATACAAAGATGACGATGGAAGAGATTGATGAGGCCAGTGACAAGAACATTAGTAATCCCCCTTTGTACAGGGTTTTTTAGTTTCCAAAGTACTTTGTGGACCCCGCAGAATCCACAAGGGTTCAAAAGCTCAGGACTGAGAGTCACTCTCTACAGATCATATGTCAGATTCATGGGAGGACCACAATTCCAATGTGGGTCTTCTGAATATTGTCCTCATGCTTTCCCCTTAGTAAGCCATGCATGTCGGCATGCTTTAGTGTTTGGATGGTGGGAAGTACCACATCAGCATCACCAACCACTGGACGTGGCTCCACCGTGGCCCTACTTGCTGGCAGTCATGTAAGTGGGCTTAGGCAGTTGTGGTGCAGTGCCTTCAGACCAACAAATGGACGGGAAGAACCCTTTTCATCCCTGCTGGACATCCAGACTCGGGGCCCTGGGGCTGGACTTCCTCTTCCTCATCACCCATGTACAACTTACCCTGTTGTTTCTACCTCACAATGTCTCAAATCTGGTTTATCTAAATCCCCTTGGTACCGTCCTAGTTCAGGTGTCCTAATTTCTCACCTGAGTTATGGAAATGGCCTCTTAATGGGTGTCTCCACTTCTAGGCTCTGCACACACCTGTCCATCCTCATATGTGAGCAGATGAATCTTTCTACCTTACACACTCTGCCTAGTGTGGGGATAATTGCCTTTAAAAACAAACAAACAAACAGAAACCCAAAAAAACAAAGCCTTCAAAAATTCCCAGCCAGTTACGGAATTAATTGAAACCCCAGCCTGGATTTC